TATATATATATATATATATATATATATATATATATATATATATATATATATATATATATATAAAACTGACAATATTACAATGGCATATTCCTACACATGGTTTTGTCATGTTTTTTGTCCAAAAACATTATATTACGGTGGGAAATGCCTTATAGATCTCACAAATAACCATGGTCTTTAAATAGTTGTTATACACAAATATACTTCACTAAATATGTACAGTTGAAGTTTAATTATTAGCTCCCCTTTATTTTTTTCTTCTTTTTTAAACTGATTCAGGAAATGTTCACAGTATGTCTGATAATATTTTTTCCGTCTGGAGAAAGTCTTATTCGTTTTATTTCGGCTAGAATGAAAGCAGTTTTAAATTTTTTTAAACACAATTTTTGGGTCAAAATTATTAGCACCTTTAAGCTAATTCTCTTTTCGATAGTCTACAGAACAAACCATTGTTATACAATAACTTGCTTAATTACCCTAACCTGCCTAGTTAACCTAATTAACCTAGTTAAGCCTTTAAATGGCACTTTAAGCTGTATAGAAGTGCCTTGAAGAATATCTAGTCTAATATTATTTACTGTCATCATGACAAAGATAAAATATTAGAAATGAGTGATTAAAACTATTATGTTTAGAAATGTGTTGACAATAAACTACTCTCTGTTAAACTGATTTTGGGCAAAAAAATAAACAGCTTGGCTCATAATTCAGGGAACTTCAACTGAATATATTCATATATGAATATCAATATAAAATTCAGGCTTAAGCTCGAAATGTTTCATACTCCTGGAAATATCTGACTTAAAGGTTTTGTTAAAATAAAAATAAAAGCTGAGAAGTATTTATTTCCACAATGATTGCCTCTTGTATGTCGTCTCATTGTCTTTTCGGGAGAAGTCGGTGTCATTTTCGGTCAAAAAAAAACTTTCTGGTTGAATAAATGTAACTTCAACTTCACTAATAAACTTCTATGTCATATATGGAATTAGCATATATCAGATTTTAATTTGGGAATATAGCTGTATAAACACGTGTGTCCAAAAGGCATTGAATTAATATGGTACTTCATCCCCAAACCCGCAAATTTAGCGCTTGAGTTGTATATTCAGTAGTGCTTGAGTTGTATATTGATTAACATGTAAGGCATTCCTCTTCACTGGTATCCACAACACTCAGTAACTGTTTGTCAGAGCCACTTTAACCCTGTGTATCTCATCATTTCATCATATTCACCTCTCGATGTGTCCTAGTCTTCTGTTCAGCCTAATAAGAGCAACCCAAGATAAATTTGCTCATCTAACAGACTCCCTGCAAACACAGGTCAGACATCAGGGGTTGCGCAAACACATCAGAAATAGGGCGGACAGTGATGTCGCATCCTGTTTGATTCAAAGACTGATTCACAGGCCTGTGTGCTGCCATGGCGATCTCTGTCCGGGTCAAAGGTCAAAGAGTGAATTACTAAGCCTTCAAAGCAGGAGAGTTTTAGTCCTCTAGTTCAAGGAAAAAGGGGATTATAGGCTTTTTTTTTCTTTGAAGGTCCCGTGAAGTGCTTTGTATTTTTTTGTTCACTTCTATTTAAACATGTAGATAGGGCAGGGCATAGAGTAGCTCCTCCCCTTTTTAAAAAACAGCCAATATCCTTTTGTTTTTATCACAGCTCTGTCAGTGAGAGGGGTTCAGCTCAAGTAATCAGATGAAAAGCAAATGAGAAGTAGGGGGCGGGGCATGTCAGACGCTAGCATTTGATTGGTCAGAAGATTTGATGAGACACTGAAGTATGCAACCTAAGCTCATTCTGGAAACGTAGCCCATAGTTTCTGGAGACCGCGATTTACGTGGCGAGAGCTACATACGGACGCGTTTAGATTTTTTTCGAGCGGACGCTGTGGGGCGGTGTTGCGCCGCTCCGTTCCTCCTCTTCGCGCTCGCTGGCCGACGGCTCGCCTCCGAGTGGAGGGCTTTCCCGATGCAAGGACTTTATATTCTATACTGGACATTATTTCTGTTCAGTCACGAGACTTTAGTCTAAACAAAGTCCGACCTTGAGCCCTAATGAAATCATTATAAGTCAAGGCATGATCTTATTTTATTGTGCTCAAATAAGCATAATCTAGAGGCCTTTGTCTTTTATATAAGACACTTCAGAAACCAAATAATCAACTAGAAGTCAAGTTATTATTTGCTGTTCCTAAAACTTGGATAGGCGACACGACTTGACAGGTTGTAATTGTGAAGTAATGCTGGACCAAGGGGTCAGGATCCAAACGCAGGATTTATTAGCAGGACGGTCAGACAAGCAATGGTCAACACAGGACCAAACAAATGCATACAGGAAATCCAGAGTCGTGGTTGATAAACAGGCAGATGGTCAAAAAGGCAGGCAGGAGACAGGAATAAACAAACAAAACAAAGCTAGGGTCTAACACAGCAAGGCAAAACAAGGAAACCGCGTCGTAATGTTCACTATACAGTTTAACAAGACTCAGCAACATGTGTGTGTTTGAGAGGTGTAGAAATAGTCTGTGTAATTAGTCCTGAACAGCTTCAGCTTCGTCTGTTTGCAATCATGGGGATCTAAGTCAGAAGTGTGAGTGGTGCATGACTGAATATGTAGTTCTTTTGCTGGCAGACTTGTAGTTCTGCACAGGCTGGATTGCTGGTGATTGTGACACAGGTAATGAACACATTTATAGGCTGTTTTACCAATAAAGGTTGTTTTTTTTGGGGGGGTGATGACTTAATTAAATACGATAAGAGACATTCAAAGCTTAATTTTAATATCTCAATAGAAGCTCTGAATGTAAATATGACATCTTATATGAGAATGGTCAGAATGGCCAAAATGGAAATTCTAGAAGTTACAGAATTCTGGTAGTTCAAGTGTTAAAAAGTTGTCGATTTCCTAGTTAATGTTGCCTAGCTGTAAAGATATCAAAACAAAATCCAGACCAAAGTTATTTCTTATTCATTTTTTCCCTGCAGTGTATGGCCTTAATCCAAGACCTGCTGAAGGAAATCCAGGCACTCAAAGAGTCCAGAGACGACCTGAGGCAGGAGGTGACGGCTCTGAATGGTCAGCTCAGCCAGGTGAACGCACACACATACACACACACACACACACCACACAGTATCACTTATTAAAGGTTTGAGTTAATAGACTTTCAGCACTTGATTACACATTGTCATCTTCAGCTGAACGTGAATGAGTTGGCGGAGCGTATCGTGGCTATGGAGCAGTTCTGTCAACAGGTTGAAAATCTGGAAAACTCTGCGGTGAGTTTGTGATGTTTAAGAAAAAGTTCAATCAAAATGAAACCGTTTATATGATCATCTTCTTGTTCATTAATTTTCTTTCGGCTTAGTCCCTTATTAATCAGAGGTTGCCACAGCGGAATAAACCGCCAACTTATCCAGCATATGTTGTACACAGCGGATTCCCTTCCAGCTGCAACCCATCACTGGAAAACACCCATACACACTCATTCACTACAAACAATTTAGTTATTCAATTCCCCTATAGCGCATGTGTTTGGACTGTGGGGGAAACAGGAGCACCTGGAGAAAACCCACGCCAACACGGGGAGAACATGCAAACTCCACACAGAAATGCTAAATGACCCGGCTGAGACTGAAACCAGCAACCTTCTTGCTGTGAGGTGACAGTGCTACCCACTGTGCCACTGCGCTGCCTCCTCTTGTTGTTCCAAACCAAATTACTTCTACCTTGGAGATGAACTCATGAGGGGGGGCTTCACAGCAGAACTTTTAATGCACATCCGGGTTCATTTAATGGCAGGATTCACAGGGTTACCACGGGTCACTGGCATCATGGAATTTAAAAAGGTCTATTCAAGACATTGAAAGGAAATCAGGGAATTTTATTTATTAATTTTTTTTTGTTCAAGTCATGGAATATCAGGGAACTTTGTCATTTTTACTTCCTATTTATCAAGATATGTTATTTCTTTTTATCATGTTGTTTTCTGATATAGTTATATTTTAGCTATTTTTCAGTGACTTAAATCTGCCTATGAGGTAAGCAAAGTAATCTCATTTCAGAGGGAAAACAAGATTATTTTTTTTACCACATTGGCAGATTTTTTTGCTTGTATCAAGAAAAAAAAAACTATGAGTCTAATTTACTAATAATTATGTACATTGTGTGGTATTTATGCACGGAATATTTCTGCCTAATTTACAACACATGTTTGTGCACATGCGTTTGTAAGTTTTTCAAACTTAATCTTCTGCTTGTGAATTTGGAGTGTTATTTACTAAATGAGTGGCTGTGTGCATGATTTGCATAATACACGCACACACCAACTCTATATAAGGGCGTTCTGCAAAGAGAGGGGGATTAATCAAATTCTTGTTTGGACCAGAAAATACAATAGGCTCTGTTTTAATGATCTAGTCGCAAAGTCTAAAGTGCATGGCGCAAAAACATTAAGGGAATCCGCCCAGGCGCATGGTCTAACAGGGTTGTGCTTATTCTCTTAATGAGTTCTGGCTGGGTTTTGAGCATAATGTACAATAAACCAAGCAGAGTCTCATCTCACATTCCCTTTAAAAGTCAGTTGTGTCGCTCCATGGCGCATTTGCTTTTTACATGGCGGACTTTGTGGAAAAACTGAACGCTTCACTAGCGAGAAAACAGTTAAACAGAGCATCTGCAGCGCGAGGATAAAGAACGAGCCTCCTCCATTCAGCCTCCTTACTTTCTCTTTACTTCTTTACTTTGGTGGAGTAAGAAAACAGTGGAAACTCACTCCACTTAACACATCCATCAGCGCACGTTTAATTTCTTTTGTTAAGTGTATAGATTTGTGTCAAAACTATTTCTAAATTCAGTTTTAATCTCCAGCAAAGGAATAAATGAACAATAATAATCAAGTGTGGTCAGAAAACTGAGTTATATCCAAACACACGTCCTGTTCTTATGCCCCATATGTTGATGCAGACGTCTCCAAAACCCCACAGCTGGACAAATCTACACTTGTGTTTATTATATCAAATATAAATCTGCATATAATAATTACTACTACTAATAATAATAACATTATACACATGCAGATTGTCATGAATAAACTGAAAAAGCTCCCCGAGGTGAAGAAGGCATGGAGGCAGTGCTGTTTATATTGATGTAGAAAATAATCACTTTTGTATCATTTTAAATCTTTAATTGTTTTCACATGTAAAGATATTTGTGTATTGCTGTATATCCTGTGTGTATTCAGCAATGTGTAAGCGTTTGCAGCTGCATCGGTGTATAACTAACGCACTCTGCTACACATTAGAGCAGCTTTTAGTTGGTCAGTGGTGCGGTCTATTCCAGTTCCTCAAAATAGCATTGCACCAACAATACGCCTTCACACACCTCCTTTCTATACCGGAGCACCCATGATTGCGCAAAGTGGAACAAATGAATTTCCAATTGAAATAACATGGCACAAAATGTGTAAATTAGAGTTGCACTGGGCTGAAAATGGCAGCAAATCACTCCAAACACGTCTTGCGGCTTATTGCACCAGGCGTATGATAGGTCCCAACATTTAAAGTACCCTTGCGTGTGCTGTGTTTTGAGGGTTGACAGAAGGATCTGAGGTTTAAACTGCATCAGATGCACCAGACGGATCCAAAACCACGAAACCCAGATTATTTTGTTTTGACAACCTTTTTTCCTTCTCAAATGCTTCTTGATTTAAGAATTTTTAGATATTTAGACTATAAACAAGATGAAAATTTAAAGTAAGAAAAGCTTCTTTTTTTGCAGTGTGGAAACATGGCTGCTTTCCCCCAACATTCTTCAGTTTATCTTATTTTGTGAGAAAAAAAAATGAATCAAAGTTTAGATCCAATCCACTTGAGTGACCGTTCATTTTAGTGGTTTTGCAGTGAACAGAAGAAGTGCAAAAAATGCTGGGTTTAAAATGGATTTCTTAACACTTAGGGCACTATCATACACCCGGCGCAGTGTGGCGCAAGGTGTGGCGCAATAGTCTTTTGGTAGTTTCAGCTTGGCACAAGAGTGATTTTGAGGCGTTGCGCTGCGTTGTTTAAATAGCAAATGCATTAGCGCTCATTTGTGCGCTCATAGACGTTCTGGTCTATAAAGAAAGGTGTTCTGAGGCGGACCGCTGGCGCGTTGCTATTTTGAGAAACTATAATAGATTTTTCATTACAACAAAACTAACCCGGTCTAAACTCCAGCGCAGAGTTGCACCTCGCTTACACACTGCTTAATACACACAAGAGAGCAATAGCCAAATATCTTTACATATGAAAAAATGTAAATATTAAGGATATATAGGATATAATAAGAATAGATATAGGATATAAATATAAAGGATTAAAATATTACAAAACATATTATTTTCTAGCCTACATAAATATGAAAAATCACTGCTTTTATGTCTTCTTCATCTCGGGAGGCTTTTTCAGTTCATTCAGAACAATTTGCTTTTGTATAATGTTATTATTATTAGCAGGATTATTTATTATATCCATATTTATATTTGTATTATTAAAAACAAGCTTAGGTTTGTCCACCTGTCAGGTTTTAGATCATATGGGGCACAGCATGTGTTTTAGGATATCACTCAGGTTTTTGAGCACATTTCGTTATTATTATTCATTTATTCGTTTGCTGGAAATTAGAACTGAATTTAGAAATAGTTTTAAAACAAATATTTGCGCTTAACAAACAAAATTAATTATTTATAGACTAATTGATGTCTGTGCGTAAAGGTTTCCCCATCCAAGAGCGAAAGTGAAAATGATCCATTATCTCTCATTCTCACGCAGTAGATGCTCTGTTTAACTGTTTTCTGTTAACTGTTTACTGTTTGCTTGTGAAATGCTCAGTTTTTCCACTTAGACTTACTTTGCGTCCTGTAAATAGTGAATGCGCTCTTTGCGTGACGCAGCTGACTCTTAAAGGGAATAGGAGACGAGACTCTGATTGGTTTATTCTCAAAACACACCTATAACTCATTAAGAAAATAAACTCAACCCTTTTAGACCATGCGCCGAAGCGCAAGGCAGATTTCCCGTCCTTAAATTAGCAAAAACGCGTCCTGACACGCCCTGAAAGCGTTTGCGCCCTGCGTTTTGCGCTTTGCGCTTTGCGCATGGACCGTCAAAATAGAGCCCTTAAAGTTCAACTAAAATACAACAAACATGAATAATATTAGCTTCCTCTCCTCTCTCTGTCTCTTTGTCTCTCTCTCTCTCTTTCTCTCTCTTTCAGAAAGAGCTGAAGGATAAAATGGCGCAGTACCCCAGTCCAGAGGAGCTGACGCAGTGTGTGACATGGGAAGTGATGCAGGCTGCGCTCATCAGCGAGAATCCGAAAACCCAGGAGGCACGTCCAAACCACAATACACAACATGTAGCATTCAGAAGCCAATAACCTTTTCGGAGCCGTCCTAAATCTCACAGCGTCTTATCACAGTCGCTGTTTGCACTGTGCGGGCGGCAGCTGCAGATGAGGCAAACATTGACCCGAATGAATGATTCGCTAAATGCAAATGCATAACCAACATCTACAAACACACACCGGGGCCAAAAATCAGCACATCTATCTCGGACGCGTCACACTTTGTAAATGACATTCTCTCTTGCATTCCTAGGGTCTGCACGCTGCTAAACACACCGAACCCGTTCACCCTTCGAGCCTAGGGAGCCAAGGTAATATGCATTCGCCTTCCAATGCATCTGATGGGGCGCTGTGCGCTGGGATGGGCCGACAAATGTCACGAATCAGCATTGGGGCTGAGCGCTACCCAGAGACTGTCGGGGCTCTGATGGATTTGGCCAGACTGAAAGACAGGCAAGAGAGTGTGGAGGCCCGTGTGGCGCAACTGCAGGCAAACAAGGCCGATCTGAGCCAGCTTCAACATCTGCATGATCTCCTCACTGCCATAGGTACAACACCGAAAGCAGCGGCGCACTCAGAAATATGCTTTATTATGTCTATCATCTTTGCACTTGACAATGGGGCGTTGAATTATTAGTCTCTGTAAAATCTGTATTTTCATAGAGATTTGGAGGATGAGTAAATGATGTGCATATTTGAATCTTTGTGTGAACTATCCCTTTGAGTTCATTCTTAATGCCCCCTTTAAGAATACAGCTGTCATCTACAGTGAACTATTTGTCGTCAGTATGGTTGTGTATGCCTGATGTTGACATTTTCTATGATGTAGAGCAGAAGCAGATTCCCGATCATGTGCCAGAACAGCTGAATCATCTGAGGACTCTTGTGGACAGTCTTCTAGCTGATAAAGAGAAGGTATGAGACTAATATGAGCATGTTATATATACTGGGCCTGTCACAATAATCAATATATCGCACAGCACATGGACAGGCCCTCAGTTATTTTTGATGATGCAAGATATATCACCCATATATAAAACCAAAGCTGATGGCCTGGCTGGGTGAGTTGGCTTTTATGTGTGAAGTTTACATATGAAGAGTTTCGTTGCAAAATGAGATATATCCATTTTGAAAAATGTTGGTTATTTGACATTATTATTTAAGACATCAACAGTCAAGTTCATTCACCATTTTTGTACATTAAACTATGACTTGAGCTCAGTGAAGGCCAGGAACACAATATTCTTCAAATCCAGGATATTTTTTATTTAACTTATGTTCATAAGTAAGTAAAAAACCAAGCAACATATTAATCGTAACATTGTCAAACATCTTAAATTAGTAAAAAAAAAAAAAAACAATACATCATAAATATATGGAATAATAAATACAAAGATTGATTAATAATAATAAGATTCTGAGTTAGATTTGGGCAGAATGTACACAACATAACATAACTTTTTTTTTTTTTGCAAAACGCTATATATCCACCTTAGGCTATATTCTACTACAGTAATACCATTATGGAAAGCTGGTGAATCAATGTTTTGTTTGATAAGTAAGATTGAGTTGGTTAGATAAACGACTTGTAGCTTGTTACAGAAAGAGTGGAGGCTCCTTCCACACCGCTGCTGAAAACCAAACCTGTATGATCAGAGCGGAAGGAGCCGCGGTGTCACAGTTCTCACAGTTTCTCACAGAGTCCACGACACAAGCTCGTCTCGCCCTGTCATATTTAATTAATTATTTCACTGTAATAATAACAATAATAATAATAGCTTATTTATTGGTTGTTGTGAAAAAGCAAAACCGTTTATTTTCCTCCATAATAACCTGTGCCCTTTATGTTCCCTAATAATAAATCAACGACAGCAAGAATTAACGTGAGGTTTTAGGCTATAAATAATAGGTGCAACCGCATGAATAAATCTTCAGATAGGCTACTCAGCTACATGTATGAAATTATTTAAAAAATAAACTTACAAAAGACACTTTGGAAATGTCGCCTTGCAGACAGGTGTCTTGTGATGGGGAGGAGCGCAGGAAAAAAGGCTCTCCTTGGCCTTCCTCTTGACATCAGCGGAGACTCGTTCCCTGCTGCATTTGTGTATTGTTGACAGACGCAAGAGTATTTTTTTCTGGTCCATTTTTTTAGCTTTTTTATACATTTATCCCAGGAGATGGTGAGCTCGCGCAGCATATTGAACGTTCTATAACTGTTACATCGCACTTTGCAAAGAAACTGGTGTGGCGGATAATGCGTTTTATGAAAAAATACATTTTGTAATTGGCATAAAATGTATATTCTTAAATGTTATTAATGGCAGAAATTCAGAATAGTTGGCGGTTCATTACACTGTGGCGACCACTGATGAAATAAGGGACTAAGCTAAAGGAAAATAAATGAACCTCGTCTTAATGAAGCACTTAGCAATGCACACTACTAAGTAAAAATCGAATTTTGATTTGTTTACAGTAGGACATTTACTAAATGTCTTCAATTATTACAATCTTTACTTACTAGTCTAATGATTTAAAGCGAAATCTCTCATTTTGACCCTAGCCATGTATAATTGGCTGCTGCCACAAAGACACCAGTGCAACATAAGCCTGGTTTTGGGTTTCAGGGTCACATATCAGAAGTGTTAACACTGTGACTTTGTGTTTGTTTGATCCTCCTGGTTGCTCAGTCACGGGCATGAGTTTAGGGTGGATCTGTCTGATTGACTGACACAAATCACACACTTCACCTTGCAGAACAATAGGGGAACGTCTGTTTGGCTGATTACATGAGCTAGAAAGATGACAACATGTTCCGACAGAGACCTGAAGGGGTATTTGACCTGAAAATGATAATTAAAAGGATAGTTCAGGGTGGCACGGTAGCTCAGTGGTTAGCACTGTGTCCTCAGATAGCATTTCTGAGTGGAGTTTGCATGTTCTCCCCGTGTTGGCGTGGGTTTCGCCTGGGTGCTCCGGTTTCCCCCACAGTCAAAACACATGCGCTATAGGGGAATTGATGAACTAAATTGAGCGTAGTGTATGAGTGTGTGTGTGAATGAGTGTGTATGGGTGTTTCCCAGTACTGGGTTGTAGCTGGAAGAGCATCCACTGCGTAAAACATATGCTGGAATAGTTGAAGGTTCATTCCACTGTGGCGACCCCTGATTAATAAGGGACTAAGCTGAAGGAAAATGAATGATTAAGGTGTGTACATGAGTTGCTTTTTGAATGTTCCTTTCATGTTCGCATTGTACGTTATAGTGCATAGTTCGATTAACGCCATTACGTCAAACTTCAACGCTACTGAAAATCAGCGTTTGTACAGGACTTCAATAATGCCACTAAAACAGGCATACTCCTAGTCCTAATTTGATTTCTGTTTAGTTTCATTAAGACTTTAGTCAGATTAAGCTCATCAAAAATCGCTGTTTACATGGTCAACTTTTAGGCCCAATCCCTTTGAAGGAAGCTTGAAGGTGTAGGGCTAAGGGAAAGAGCTAAATACCCCTCGAAAGGGGGATTTTTCAGGACCACACTTGAAACCAAGGGGCAGGGCCGGCCCAAGCCTTCAGGGGGCCCTAAGCAGGATTTTATTTGGGGCCCCCTTGGTGCAAACAATATAAAAAATTATCATCAATCCTTGATAATTCGCGCACTATAAATTTAAAACACACATTATCGATTTTATTCATTGTAGTTGTGTTGCTTACATCATAAAATATATGTTTTAAGACAATTCTTAATATTATTCTGCAGAAACAACTTCCTATTGATCCAACTTTTTATATAACTACTTGCCACAAATGTTAATAATTAGACACAAAACATTAATAAGCAAATATCTATTTAAATTAAAATCAAATTAAATCAGGAAGCATTTTTTAGACATACTCGCATATCAATCAAATTACTAAATATGTACAAAAATTGTTCAGTTTTCAGAAATAATTCTAAATTAAGTGAATTTTTTTGTAAAACAAATTAATCTGCCAATGAGATAAGTAAAATAATCTTATTTAAAATCTAAAACAATATTTTTATTTACCCTAATTGGCAGATTATTGAGCTTTTTTTAATGAAAAATTCACATTATTTTGACTAAATATCCTTCTAGAAAATGCTTATTGGTTTAAGAATTTTTAGATATTTGGACTAAAAATCACACAAAAACTATAAGAAAGAAAATAAGCTTTGCAGTGTATTTAACAACTGTCAATTTTATAAATCAGAAGCTTATTTTTTTAATCGCCAAGTTCATAAAAAAAGCATTTTGCTGCTTACGGGAAGCGCCACCTGGTGGCGGCTGGGTGTACTGTAGCTAAAGCGGTTATCTGCTGCAGTCAGTGTGAAAAAAATGATTAATTAAATCAGATCTTTTGTAAATTTAAGTAAATATCTCGGCGCCTGAGTATGTATTGCGGTCAGAAATAACACTATAAATGGGCATATATTTTGTCCCACCACTAATCCACAACTCAACAAACTAAAACGAAAGTCACACAAGAATTTCAAGCACTCTTGGGGGCCCCCTGGTGGCCACGGGGCCCTAAGCAGCCGCTTAGTTCGCTTATGCCTTAAGCCGGCTCTGCCAAGGGGTAAGAAAATTTCCCAGAGTACACCAGTTACAGCAGCAACATGGCTGCAAACGGAAGTCAGGAGATCCACAAATTATTATTTTTTGTCATTATCATGAATTTTTACAACAAACAAGCATATGTTAATATATTCATGAGCGCATTCGTGTTTTACCGGCATGCTTTAAAAAAAAAAAAACGCATAAATAAAACCAGCTAAATTTGGCTAATCCCAACACAACCTCACGGCAATTCGTAACTTAGATTTAGTGGCTAATTCGTATGAATTCGTTCGATCTAATTCGTGCAATTTAGTACGATTTGCTCATCACCCAATGACGGGTGGGGTTGGGTGCCACGCCTCCTTTTTAAAATTGTACATTTTCGTACGACTGAACTCGAATGAATTCATACGAATTAGCCACTAAACTGACAAAGCCTAAAATACTTACATTTCCTCGTGAGATCAGGCTGATATGCCTAATAATAACTCCTTTAGAGCAGTCCCACAACAGTTTAGTGTCTGGGAATGAGCTCTTTACAGTGTCTGCTTTAATGTTAATGATGCTTTCATGTGTTTACATGATGAACAAGGCCACTGTGTGAATGCGCAGTATAGTTATGATCTTATTGACAAATTAGATCGTTATGATTACATAATATATGCCTTCAGTGATTTCCTGAAGATAAATACCAAAAAACAACACAACTGGAATAACTACAGGAGTCGCCAACGTCTGATCTCATATGAAGCAAGAGATTGCGATGACATGTGATGATGTGTGCAGGTGCTGTAGTGCTGTCCCAATTCTTATAGGTAAAGCCCTTCCCCTTCATGCTCTGTTTCAAGGGCCAAGGGGAAGGGGTAGGGGTACTAAAATAGAATTTTGAATGGGCCGTAGTCAAAGTATAGTTACTGATATCCATGTAAATGTACTGAAGGTCATCAGAAATCTCTGTTTGTACTCTTAATGTTTTGTCCTAATCGTTAAAAAAATTCTGAGTATTGGCGTTTATGTAAACATATTCAATGTGAAGACAAACACAGACACACACAGAGACAGCAGCAGAGTGTGTGAGTGTAGTGACTCCTGTAGGTGTCAGATGTGGAGAGTGTGTTGATGGACATGAGCGCAGAGAGCTCCGAGTCTGCGGGACAGAGTTCAGGTTCAGACGGCGCTGCGCTCACAGATGCCTCACAGATGCAGCAGCTCACCCTGCAGACCACACACATCAGGTACAGAAACGGGACCCCACAGCGGTCATGCATGTATGGAGCACAATCTATGCCAAAAGTATTTGAAATCAAAGAAGCTTGTCGAATCGCACTAACTAAAA